ATGGATGGATGCATGGATGGATGGATGCATGGATGCATGGATGTATGGATGTATGGATGGACAGCCTGCTTTAACAAAGTGCCTTAATGTACAATTTAAAACTGGCTCATCCCCTGAGTTAGGTAGGTGACTTTTTTATGCTTGATTGATTTTAAATGGAAAAAAAAGAGGTTAGGTACAAGAACTGGATCCAAAATGAGGAAACAAGCCTCAAGAATTGCCACATAAGTGCATTTTTAAAAATGTATATGAATGCCTGGTTGTTTGGAAGCAAAAATAAATAAATACTTCTTTATTCCTGTTGCTAGCTGGAATAATTGTGACTTACGATCTTGCTCTGCTCTGTAGATAAAATTCTGCAAGTCGGGTTGCACATTACACATTTTTGCCACTTTTTGTACATGGTGACATGATTTAAAGTGTAGCTGGTTGTTTATTAGCAGCTGACATTCTCATGGGGAGCAGCAGGTTCAGATTTTATTGTTCCTGGAAGGCCTCACTGGTTTAAAGCAGTAGGGCTAAGTCTCTTCAAAGTATCTTCAAAAAGACCATTAAAAATGTAAACACTGAATGGGTAAAAAGTTAAAGGTGATGTATGCAGAGATAAGAAGTGGCTTTAGGATTGTGCGTATTGTTAAACTAAATATTGAATGACTTTTGCGCAATTGTGGTTGTGACACTGGGAAAAGAAGCGCCTACAAAGACAGGAACAACAAATGCTGTAGGTGGATGTGAGCCAGTGACACTGGCTTATTATTCTTAGATTTTTCCCACTCACTCAGACATAAAGTCTGCCTTAAAGTTGGCAGCAGGAGAAGATAACGATGATTATGAAAAGTGTCACTCTTCTGTATAATTAAGAGTCCAGGACATCTCTGATTGGACCTACCTGGCATTTTAAAAAAACTGTCTTAGGGCAGGAATGTGAGCATCGTCTGGACAGTTCCATACTAATCCACAAAAGTTCCAATCTGTGGCTTTGAACCCAAACTTTGTCTAAGTAACTCTACTTCTTTTTTTTCCCAAATCTAACATTCAAATCAACAGCCACACCCAGGCACTCAATCATCTGTGATTATCAGCATCTGGGTCAACAATACGAGGCAACGTTGCCGTCCTCATAAAACGACAACTGATGATTTTTGCTTTGCACAACCACAAGTGACACAAGCCCTATTATGTTATAATGTCTCTACTTGCACTGACAATCCAGATTAGCGGAGGTGTCTTTAACAATAAATAAAGAAGGACTTTTTTTTATTGCCTGTCACCTTTATGAGCTCACAATGGTTAAAATTTTACAAATGAAATGTTCAAATGAAATGTCTGCAGGCAAACTGCATGATGTATTAGTATATCATGGATTTCTGTGTTACTCTTTTGCATTCAGAGCAGCAGCTTTGCAAGTAAGCATGATCTCCTTTTAGCAGAGGGACATAAATGCACCATAAATAGAGCATCTGCACTCTCAGCTTAAACCAAATGCCTACAACAATGGAGATAAAAGTGGTTTAAAATAACTCCTCCTGAGACAAGAAGGGTTTAGCCTTTGGCCTGTCAAACAAAAACAAGGTGGGGTTGATGAGTAATGTGTTACCGTACCAGAGGATTTGCGTTCACAAATGACTCTGCTTGGAGACAGACGTAGACAGATATGATGCGGGAGCAGTGAGTTCCATGGGTAATGCCAGCATTGCCTTACATTTGAGGAGTCATTATCCTAAGAGCATATATTACGTACAGTGCCTTATGTGGGCGTACCTGTGACTTCTCGGCAGTGGGTATATAATTACAGTAGCGCAGCTTCCTCTATTAACAATTGTAAGGAACTTCCAAAAGCTTTTATGAACCAACTTTGCCTTCTTATGTTGAATGTAAGCGACAAAGCATCTGCTGCACATCACGAACATGTTTCAGGCTCTTCATTTAGCAGCTTTCACATTTAGCTTTCACATTTAGTCACATCTCATCGCTTCTCAGCGAGTACTGAACTGATTATGATTTGGTACGCGGTGATAAGTCCTGTCTGAGTGTTGATGAAAAAGATTTCAGGTCGAGCTGTTTGC